AAAATCAGAATTTATTTATTTATTTATTTATTGAGACAGAATCTCGCTCTGTCACCCAGGCTAGAGAGCAGTGGCGTCACCTCAGGTCACTGCAAGCTCCGCCTCCTGGGTTAAGAGATTCTCCTGCCACAGCCTCCCAAGTAGCTGGGTTTACCCGCATGTGCCTCCACGCCTGGCTCATTTTTGTATTCTTAGGAGAGACAGGTTTCACCATGTTGGCCAGGCTGGTCTTGAATTCCTGACCTCGAGATCTGCCTGCCTCAGCCTCCCAAACAAAATGTATCATTATTATTGTTGTAAGAACTGCAAGTCCTGGCCGGGTGGGGTGGCTCACACCTGTAATCCTAGCACTTTGGGAGTCAGAGGTGGGTGGATCGTTTGAGGTCAGGAGTTTGCAGCCAGCCTGGCCAACTAAGGGAAACCCCGTTTCTACTAAAAATACAAAAATCAGGCCAGGCATGGTGGCTCACACCTATAATCCCAGCACTCTGGGAGGCCAAGGGGGGCGGATCACTTGAGGTCAGGAGTTCAAGATCAGCCTGGGCAATAGGGTGAAATCCCATCTCTACTAAAAATACAAAAATTAGCCCAGTGTGGTGGCGCATGCCTGTAATCCCAGCTATGATGGAGGCTGAGAATCGCTTGAACCCAGGAGGCAGAAGTTGCGGTGATCTCAGATTGCACGACTGCACTCCAGGGGTGACAGAGCGAGACTCCACCTCAAAAAAAAAAAAAAAAAAAAAAGCAAAACAAAACCATGCTTGGGTGTGGTGGCAGGCACCTATAATAAGAGTGACTTGGTAGACTGAGGCAGGAGAATTGCTTAAACCCAGGAGATGGATTTTTGGGTGAGCTGAGGTCACACCACTGCACTCCAGCCTGGGTGACAGAGCGAGACTCCATCTCAAAAAAAGAAAAAAAAACCTCCAAATCCTTCAACTGTATGTCAAGAAGAGGGACATTTCTGTCATTTCAGGGGGTCTCAGGCTTTGTGGCACATTTGAATTTCCCTTTAAAATGTAAAAGGATTGGTGTCTGGACCCCAGGCAGGGTCATTTGTATGTGTATAATAGAGTTTGCTGAGATGCTGAGGAAGGCTTCAGTACATTGAAATTGCCCTATGTGATTAAATATGTAAGCTAATTGTGTCTTAAAGTTCCTAGCCCCAGGTCCAAATTGGCAAAATAGCTAGCATCTGACTGCATCCCAGAAGACCAAACCAGGAAGATTTATACAAGGAAAAGATCATGAAAAATAATAAGAAAAAACGGAGTGTCACTGCAGAGACTAAGGCTATTGAGATTGTATTTTTTATCTGTTTATTGATTAGGTGTTGGGTTTTTTAAAATTTGTTTGTTTTGAGATGGAGTCTCACTCTGTTGCCCAGGCTGAAGTGCAATGGCATGATCTCAGATCACCACAACCTCCGCCTCCCGGGCTCAAGGGATTCTTGCACTTCAGCCTCCCGAGTAGCTGGGACTACAGGTGCCCACCACCACGCCAGGCTAATTTTTGTATTTTAGTAGAGATGGAGTTTCACCATGTTGGCCAGGCTGATCTTGAACTCCTGGCCTCAAGTGATCCACCTACCTCGATCTCCCAAAGTGCTGCTATTAGAGACACAAGCCACCACACCCAGCTGTGTTTTGTTTTTAATTGTACATATTTAAGGCATTCATGATGTTTTGATACACATATGTCGTGAAATGATTACTACAATGAAGCAAAGGAACATATCCATCTCCTGATGTATTACCTTTGTGTATGTGTGTGTAGAAAGAGTGGCTGAAATCTACTCTTTAGGCAAATTCCCAGTATACAAGGCAATAGTCCTGAGGTTGCTTGTATGAGGTGGAAGTTTGCTACAGATTGGCCATAAGCAGGAGTTTATTCTCATTCTATTTTCCTCAATGGTTATTGCCATAGAGCTTATATAGAGCAAAGTGCAAAAAATCAGACACACACGTCTTCACGAACTTTCACTAATTGAACATACCCAGGTACCCAGCGCTGAAATCAATGAACAGATAGTGGCTTCATCCACAGGTGCCTTTTCCTGCCACCCTGTCCTGCCCCAACAAGGGCACCCTGTATTGTAACAGCATCTAGGATTTGTTTTGTTGGCATTCTTTTCATGTGTAGGGAACAACATGGTATGCACTGTGTTGGGTGTGGATCAACCTCAGCTTTGGTGATCAGTGCTTAAGGTAGTGCCGGTTGTCATCTGTGAGTTCTGATTGCTGTGAGGAGATCCGAGAGGTGCAGGTGCCCCAGTATTTATTCATTCTCCTGCTTCATTGATTGGTTTCTAGCAAGAGCTATTATGACTACAGGTTCTGTGACCCTGAGAACATGAAATTGGTGGGCACGTGTGCACAGTGTTGAGATAAATGCTGTGTGCAAGGAAAGAAGGTAGACATATATACGGCTTGTGGGGTTTGTTTGTTTATTTGAGACAGAGTCTTGCTCTGTCTCCCAGGCTGGAGTGCAGTGGTGTAATCTTGGCTCACCGCAACCTCCACCTCCTAGGTTCAAGAGATTCTCCTGCCTTAGCCTCCCAAATAGCTGGGACTACAGGCATTTGCTACCATGCCCTGCTAATGTTTTGTATTTTTAGTAGAGACGAGGTTTCATCATGTTGGTCATGCTGATCTCGAACTCCTGACCTCAAGTAATCCACATGCCTCGGCCTCCTAAAGTGCTGGGATTACAGGTGTGAGCCACTGTGCCCAGTCTACAGCTGCTGTTTTTGAGACAGGGTTTTGCTCTGTTACCCAGGCTGGAATGCAATGGCTCAAAACATAACTCACTACAGCCTTGATCTCCTGGGCTCAAGTGATCCTCCCACTTCAGCCTCCTGAGAAGATGGACTACAGGCACGAATCACCATGCCTGGCAATTTTTTAGTTTTTGCAGAAATAGGGTCTTCCTATGTTGTCCAAGCTGGCGTCGGACTACTGACCTCAAGCGATCCTCCCACCTCTGCCTCCCAAAGTGCTGGGATTACAGGCATAAGCCACCGTGCCTGGCCCTATACAGCCTTAATAGATGTTTGCATATAGTTTTCCAAAGTGGTTATTCCAGTTTCAACTCCCACTATCTCTACAGGTAAGACTGGTCTCTCCAGGGTCTTGTCAGCACTAGGTGTTTCTGTGTTTTTCCTTTAGCTAAGCTGATATCTGGATAATAGTATCTCACTGTAATTTTAATTTTTTTAGCATTTCCCTGAAGCTAGAGGGATTAAACATTTGCTCAAATTTTGCTGGTCATTTAGGCCAGGGGTGGTGGCTCATGCCTGTAATCTCAGCACTTTGGGAGGCCAAGGTGGGTGGATCACTTGAGGTCAGAAGTTCAAGACCAGGCTGGGCAACAAGTGAAACCCTGTTTTTACTCAAAATACAAAAACTAGCTGGGCGTGGTGGCAGGAGCCTGTAATCCTACATACTCAGGAGGCTCAGGCAGGAGAATCTCTTGAACCCAGCAGGCAGAGGTTGTGGTAAGCCAAGATCATGCCACTACACTCCAGTCTGGGTGACAGAGCGAGACTCCATCTCCAAAAAAAAATTTTTTTTAATTGTCATTTGTTTATCTTCTTTTGTGTAGGATCCATTCAACGTTTTCACCCAGTTTCAAGTGTGTTTTCTTTACTTTTCTCTGTTTGTTTGACATCATTCTTTACATACTCTGGCTTGATGTACTTTTCTGGGAATATAGAATCAAAACTTCTTTTCCCACTCTGATTTTCCACCTTTTCTCTCTTACTGATGCATTTTAATGAATAGTTGCTCTTAATATGTCTTAATATGGTTCAAATTTTAATTTTCTTCTTTCTATATTGAGTTTTATTGTATTAAGGAGAAACACTGTCTCCTCATTGACTGTGACACTGTTCTTCTAACTCGGTTTTTTTTTTTTTTTTTTTTTTTTTTGTGGGGGACAGAGTTTCACTCTTGTTGCCCAGGCTGGAGGGCAATGGCGCAATCTCGGCTCACCACATCTGCCTTCCCGGTTCAAACAATTGTCCTGCCTCAGCCTCCCGAGTAGCTGGGATTATAGGCACGTGCCACCACACCCAGCTAATTTTGTATTTTTAGTAGAAATGGGTTTCTCCATGTTGGCCAGGCTGGTCTTGAGCTCCTGACCTCAAGTTATCCACCTACCTCAGTCTCCCAAAGTGCTGGGATTACAGGTATGAGCCACCTCTCCTGGATGAAGTAATAATTTCTTTGTAATGACTGTGTGGTATATTCTATAGGATTGTGAATAAGTTTTGGGCTTTCTTTTCTTTTTTTTTTTTAGACGGAGTCACACTCTGTCGCCCAGGCTGGAGTGCGATGGCGCGATCTCGGCTCACTGCAACCTCCGCCTCCTGGGTTCAAGCGATTCTCCTGCCTGAGCCTCCTTAGTAGCTGGGATTACAGCTGCATGCCACTTCGCCTGGCTAATTTTTGTATTTTTAGTAGAGACAGGGTTTCACCATCTTGGCCAGGTTGGTCTTGAACTCCCGACCTCGTGATCCACCCACCTCAGCCTCCCAAAGTGCTGAGATTATAGACATGAGCCACCATGCCTGGCTGGGCTTTCTTTTCTTGAAGAACATTTAAACAGTCTTTAATTTTTTGTTACTAAATCAAATATGACATGAAAATTTATGTACATAGACAATTCCATTCCTATTTCTATAGAATGCTTTCAAAGATGTTTGAAGCAATGGGAGAAAAGGGAAACATATCTAAAATGCTGATATTAACTGCAAGTACCACCCTCCCACACACCCAAACATATTAAATTCTTTTTCTACTAACACTTTATGTTGGTAACACCAAAATGGATTCCGTATAAGGATTTAGAAATGCCTCCAATCCAATGGGTGGAGACCAGGGTGTTCCCTGTGGATTAGCCACTAATTGCATTATCAATCCCTCCCTATATAAAAGGGGACTCAGAGGCAGAAGTCACTGTGTTCTCCAACAAGCCAGGGACTGTCTGCATCTCAGGAGTGGGGTCAGCAGGAGAAACTCAACAGCCATGGGAGAGCCTGGGTCCGGATCTTTTCCAAGCCTGCCTGTTCTGGTGAGTACAGGATCCTTACTGACCACAAGAATGTACATTTGTGTCCTTTTTCTTCCTGTAAAACATGTTTACAGTTAGCAGGGAGCTGTTCTTAAAACTAGATGCTATGTGGTGGCAAGTTACACCCTAGGTGTTAATAATTGTTATATAATATTTAAGGTATTTTCATTTTTCCCCATGAAACTATATGGGGATAATAGCTCTGATTTTTTTTTTTCCAAATACAACATCACTAGGAAGGGGAAGAAGTATTATTTAGCCTTGTACTCTTCAAATTGTCTCCCTCCCTGGAAAGTTCTTGAACCAGAAATTGCTTGGTCCCTTTAAAACAAATAGTTCTCAGTTAAAATTTCATGATTAGTTAGTCCTTCGCTAAACTCACTGTCATGATTCACTGAAGTGAATTTCTTTCTTTTCTGTTTCTCCCTTTCTCCTGCCTCCATCCTTCTCTGTCTCTCCCTTCTTGTTCGTTATGGAACTTAAATATATCTGATATTCTATGTTGTTGGAAACAAATGCTCTGTGCTGCAAAGAAAAGCCAGCACTGAGACAAAGGATCTCTCAGCAAGGCAATCTTTACTTTCTGCAGAAAGGGTACCCTTTCTGGTCACCAAGCATCTGTTTCCAACAATCAGAAATTTGTTTTTAGTGTGCTTATTATGTTTTCCTTTGCATCAAGATGAAAATCAACAGAACAGTGACTTGATGAAGTTTATTTCTGTATCAGGGGTTCTACTGCACAGCTTGGTACATCATAGGTGCCCTGTACCTAAAGGAACTAGATAATTTTCCCTCCAAACTGGAACATCTTGGGTAGTGTAAAGGGTATCAATCTTTATGCCAGGACAATAGAAATGAAACGAGAAGGACAGAAATGAAGACTTTAAAATGAAAAGTGCACTGATGAGGTTTGCGGCTGAAACAGCTTCGTGAGACCAGTCTTCCAATTTGAGATAGAGCAAGAATGGATTTCAAATCTTAAGGAGCACTTCATCATCTTTTGCAGCATGACATCAAAACAGTCTCTCATTGTATAATTCTAGTTAATTGAGCTTATTAGAAACAGAAAGTAAACATGGTGTTCTGAGGTTTTTCTTCAAGAGCAGGAGGAGTTCAGGTGAAGATGGGATCTTCACCTGAAGATGGCAGTGAGTATTTAAGGGTTGCCAAGTGCATGATTTATTTCTTTGGAGACCAGGGAGTCAAGGAGCTATGAAAATGATGTGTCCTGAAGCACAGCAAAAAGAGATACAGAGAAATCTGAGGTCTTGGGTAACAGGGAACTCTGGGATCCCGGTGTCCTGTTGGGAATGGGTCAGGAGGCACCAGCATGTGTGTAGCTGACAGTGGCAGGGAAGAGAAGAGAGGGGTGTCCTCTGAGGAGGGTGAGCAGGAATACAGTCTGGAATTGGCCCTGGGTCATGACCTTGAGCTTTCAGTCCTTGGCTCACATCAGCCCAGTGAGGTCCCGGGACCCAGTGTTGATGCCTGGAGCCTCTGCCAGCAGCATCAGCGTCACATGGAGAAATGCAGACTCTTGTGTCCACCCTAGACTTCCCTGGGTTCAGGTCCAGAGATCTGAGTTTAACAAACCCTGCAGGTGCTGAAGATGGATGGTGCCATTTGAGACCCATTTCCCCAGAAAGAGAGGCTGGTGGGGAGACTGCACTGAGCTGAGAGAAGCCCCCAGAGCTGATCTTCTCCAGCTTCCAGTTGGATGAAATTTCACATTTTCTTTTCTTTTGAAAGGGGAAGCTCAAAAGAAACATGATACCCTGGGCCTTACAGAAGAAACGAGATATCCACGTGGCCAAGGCCCATCGGAGACGAGCTGCCAGGGCTGCCCTCCCCATGAGGCTCACTAGTTGTATCTTCCAGAAGCCAGTGACAAGGATCAGGTCTCATCCTGACAACCAGGCCAGACACAAAAAAGGCGAGGAGCACCTGGAGAAGCCACAGCAGCTCTGTGCCTACCAGAGAATGCAGGCCCTGCCCCCCTGCAGCAGCCAAGGAGAAGGTTCTTCAAGTCCACTGGATTTGGACAGCGTCTTAAGTGTTCTTGCTCCGGGCATGGCTGGGGAATCTCTGGACAGAGCTGGTGCTGAGCTCACACACAGCCGGCCTGAGCCCACCCCTGGGCAGCTTCCAACTGGGGCAAGGGCTCCCCCAGGAGTGAGTTGTCAGCTCCCACCGCCCCTCTCTGGCCAATTGGTGACTCATGCCGATATCCGGAGACAGGCCCGGAAGGTGAAGAAAGCCAGGGAGAGACTGGCCAAGGCCTTGCAGGCAGACAGCCTGGCCAAGGAGGCAGACAGAAATGCTGAGGAGTAGATGAGGTGAAGGAGGGGGTGCTGAGAAGCTGTGGGGTGTGGCTCCGGGTGAGGGGAGTCAGCAGTGACAGTTCTGGGTTTTAGGTCCCTGTCTTTTAATGCCTGTCGTCTTTGCTACTACGAATTGTCACACTTTCTCCTTCCCCACCTGTTCCTTATTAAAAGCATTAAAAAGCAACAGGTGTAAGGAGTGGATGGTTTTGTGGTAAGAAATTTGGTTTCCTGGGACAGAGAGGGAGACCTTTACATGTCATTGTATACCTCAATTTCTGTTTACCAGGGTTTTAATTAGTTTTTCTTTCTTTTTTTTGAAATCGAGTTTTGCTCTTGTTGCTCTGGCTGGAGTGCAATGGCATGATCTTGGTTCACCACAACCTCTGCCTCCCATGTTCAAGGGATCCTCCTGCCTCAGCCTCCTGAATAGCTAGGATGACAGGCATGTGCCACCACGCCCCGCTAATTTTGTATTTTTAGTGGAGACATGGTTTCTCCATGTTGGTCAGGCTGGTCTCGAACTCCCAACTTCAGATGATATACCCTCCTCGGCCTCCCAATGTATTGGGATTACAGGTGTGAGCCACTGTGACCAGCCTGATTTTAATTACTTTTTCTATTAAATTCTAATTTAATTTTAAATGCCTAAAAAATGAAATTATATTGCAGAAGTTTTACGTGAAATGATTGTTACGTAATTTAACATTTTTATTTTTTTACGCAAAAAATCTTGAAGATATAAATTTTTATTTTTTTGACTTAAAATTTTTTTTATAAAAAAGTGCTAATGCAACAAATTTTTATTTTTAAATTACATTTTTATTTTTTAGATTCAGGGGTACTTGTATTTGTTCATTTTATTAATATATTGCTTACTGGTGTGGATTCCATTTCTAGTGTACTTGTCACCCAAATGGTGACCATAGAACACCAAAGATAATTTTTTGGTTGTTTTTATAAAATATAACTTTTTAACCAAGAAGTAATTAATCTATGCTGAAGGATCATTTAGTTTTGTAGTCATATATATATATATATATATAT